TCACTTTGTTTAGCCTTTCTAGTAGGGCTGCTCAATTAATAGTATGTTAAATCGCAATTACGTTTTTGGCTTGCAACGATTATGAAAACAACATAATCGAAATAAAACGATTATTTATTTTCATTAATATTTATTTAAATTATTTTTTAAAACAATTTATTTGGGGGTTTTTCAGTTGAATTATACTTAAAGTTCAGGGTAATCAACTGTTAAAAACATACTGTTCACATTTTTCTTTTCAATACATTTATGTTTTCAAAGTAAATGGATAATCGTTTTTAATAATCGTGATATCAATTATTGACCCAAATAATCGAGATTATGATTTTTGCCATAATCGAGCAGCCCTGCTTTGGTTGACACGACACATGCTCAGATAGCTCATCAAACATGGAAAAAAGGTTTTTAAAAAATGTCATCAGTCGACCAAGACCAAACTGACACGACAACCAAGAGGGTGCACCACGAATATGACCCACGCTTTATGAACTGCAAACCTGAACATTTGTTGTGGGGGACCTTTAAAATGCAAAACTTGACCTAAAAGTTCATTTTAAAAAGGGACATGGTGCAGGATCTATAAATAACAAGGGATAATGTTTGCAAATGCTAGTGTCTGACTCTGCTAAGCCTTTGTAGCATAATAGGAAAATGGAAACTGTATGTAAATTAGAATATGCCTTTCATTGCAATACGGCTACAATAAATCCAAATCTATACAAAACTATTATTAAATATATTTCCTAACACTTTAAATGTAATGTTTGATAATGTCCTACAATATGAACTGCTTCATTGCGTGTGTGTGTGAGTGTGTTTGTGCGTCTTGTTTTTCCCTGCTTCAGCCTGAGGTGCTGCAAGGTGCTGCAAAATAAATCAGTGTGAGGGTGTTTTGCATTTTGCTGCATCATGCCCAATACGAAATCACTCAGAAACCAGTGTAGGCAGCTCTCTGCAACATGCTGTCATGCCTCTGTGCGATAATCTGCCCCAGTGCAGTGTGGGATTTATTGGATCACACTCAGTCACTTGAGGAGGCAGGCAGCAGGCAGCCGATTGTACTGTGATTTCATAAAGAACCAGCCTTATCTTCGCTGCTGTCAGACTGCATCATTGTTCTCTGCCTGTTACATCATTGGCAAGCTTGAGGTCAGCTTTTTCTCACGATTTCAGCTGCACCTGAACACCCCATGACTCAGGGATTGGAGGGTTTTTTTTCTCAAGATGAACCGAGGTTTGAGAGTCTGAGTCACACTGTACCTCTGTGCACGATCTATTTCACTTTTCGCCTTCTCGTATGAGAGCTTATGAGACAAAGCAATAGTAGTATTAAATCCGTCTCCATGAGTCATCGCTGCGTTTCCTCAGCCTTCAGTTCTGCAGGTCTCTCTCTGAAGCCTCTATTCTTTCCCTCTCTGCGTTCAGTGGAGAGGGGAACCATGCTCTATGTTCCCAACAGCAGGGCGAACTTAGCAAGCGCACCGAGCGAGGTTAAAACCATTTCAACTGTAAGCGAAAAGTGCCGTCCTTCAAACAGGTTTTCCACAGTTGCATAGCAACGGCAATTGCCATGACCGGCGTTTCCCACGGACAACGTTACCGAAGACAAACTGCCTCGTACGAGCATGGGACGACTGCAGCCCTGCATCCTGTGGCCTGCAGGATGTCAACAATTCCTGATAGGATGCTCCTAAAATAGTGTTACCAGGCAACAAACCCCAATTCGAGATTTGACAGAAATATGTTTTGAGTTAAACTAAATAAGAGCAGAAATCAAAAAGCTACGGAGCTACCTGGTGTTACTATGGTGATCAGTACAGCCGACAACTTCTCTTAAACATAAAGCAAAGTGTGTTTACTTTATGGTCTCAGCAAGGACAACCAATCCCTTTGCTTAGCAGAAATATATATTACATAACGCTGCTCAGTCCGCCAAATATCAGTGTTAGAGAAGCTGTGGTGTTTATGTTCGTCTGTCTCTGGAGTCTCATGCTCTCCTGCAACATGAACATTCCTGTTACAACCGTTTGCTTTGTAGCCATATTAGCTGATAAAAGGATGAATATGTATCAACCTTGTACACCCACCAATCACATTGTCTCATTACAGACAGAAAGCACAAAGGCATCGGCTGCCCCGTCTGAATCCGAGAAGGAAAACACTCCATCAAGTCACCTCTCCTATTAGAAAAAAGCTTTACAATCACTTTCAGCAATACAGTTTCCTTTTGCTTGCAATTTTGCCAGCAAGCAGATGTTTCCAGGTCATATTTACCATGAGGGCAAACCTTTCTTGGCTTGAACAAAACCTGCGTAAGAAAAGCTTTAAAGTTAGTCGAGACCAAAGTCAAAGATTTACACGAGTTTCGGCAAATCAGAGAGTGGGTTGATTAACTGGACGCCAAGTTTAGAGAAATACGTTTTCCATTAGAAATGACGATTTGATTCTACCAATCCTGTGAAATAGAATGGATGTACTAACTCCTCCATGTCATGAGTAGTATTCAGTATGGCATCCTATGTAATCTTCCTCTAAAGAAGAGAAATTCACAATTTTCCTGGATGTTCTGAAATAAAACTCAAAATTGTGCTTTCTAGTTTCCAGCATTATTTCTACAATAAATAAAGTAGACTTGGTTTATTTCAATCCACTCATGAGTTCAGGTTTGCCTTTCTTTCGCGTTATCTTTGACTTTGGTTGTAGTAAGAATAATTTAAAATCTAACTTACGATTTCTGGTGGTGGAGGGTGTGGGCGTGGTGGTTGTTGGAGGCGTTGGTTTTGTGCATGCGCTCAATCCTCTCCCTCTCTTTCTCCACAAAGTTGGTGTTGGTGCCGGTGCTGGTGGAGGGTAGGCGGGTCAGCCGGCTGTGGGCCCGCGGCTGGTCCCGAGACGGCATCGGAGGTGGAGGAGGAGGAGCCGGAGTTGGAGCTGGAGCCGGGGGGGATGTCGGAGTCGGGATTTGGGTCGGGATCGAGATGGAGGTCGGGGCTGAAGACGGAGCGGGAACCGGGATCGCCGTCGTAGGGATGCTGTTGGAGCTGTTGTAAGAGTGGTGGGCGGAGGAGTGGTGGTGGTTGTGATGGTACTGGTGGTGGTTCTGGTGCAGGGGGATGGAGGAGGGGGGCTGCGGAGGAGGAGCTTGGTATTGGCTGTTGTGGTGGTGGTGGTGGTGCTGTTGGTGATTCTTGGCAGACATGGAAGTGGATGTGGTCGGTGGAGGCGGTGGAGGGGGAGGAGGGAGTGGAGGCTCGGGAGGAGGAGCGGGTGGAGGAGGAGCGACGGGCTGCCGCTCCAAACGCAGGTCTTTGTTCTCCTGGCTGAGCCGGTCCAGCTGGACTTCCAGCTCCTCGATCCGGCGCCTCTGAGTTTCCAGAAGCTTCTGCTGGCTCTCGATGATGTTGTTGAGTTCAAGAAGGTACTCCACCGCCCGGTTAGGGCTCTCTGGGCTGCCCTGGCCTGGGCCTTGATTAGCATCCATAACTAGCTGGTCTGAGAGTTAGCACACAGGCTAATGGTCTAAATGTTTATGACCAAGGTTTTCTAATGCTAATTTCTAAACTAAAGAACCTAAATGCTTTTTGCTGTTACAGTTGGTTAGATCCAGGTTGTACACTAAATGCTAAGCTTCTGTAATCTATAGGTCAGAGCCAAATGCTAACGTGTGTTATACCACAAGGACTTGTTCAGGTAAATAAGCTAGCAAGCTAAAGGCTAAAACCAGCAGAACTGAATAAGCCTAAACACAAGAGAACCAAATAACTACCAACTAGATCAGAGCTCAGTACTCTAATGTCTAGTCTACAACCTAATGTCTAAATAACTACAAAACTAAACGCTATGGCCCTAAGCCCTACACCCTAAAAACTAAAGTATATTTCACCCTCCCCCCCACCAGAGGTAAGTGGGGGGGAGAGGAGTTTACTTCTTTGAGTTCTGATCTGACGATCAAGATGGACCTCGTTCTCGCTGGATCCAATCAAAGAGGTTTATCGAGTCTTCGACCATCCCCTGGTTCAGTCAGGTGTTTCTGTCCGGGTTCAGACCCATGACGGATAAAAAGAGAACAAAGTTAGAGAAAAAGATTGTCTTCTTTCCCCCCCCTCCCAAGAAAACTGTCTTTTTGTTTGTCAGTGAGTCAGTTGTATCCACTCTTTGCACTCCATGCAGAAGATCAGAGCAATGGTTTCCAAGAAGCAGGTGTGGAAATCACAGATAACAGAGACGTTATTTGTCCCTCTGTGTCAAAGATATCGCACATTACCATTGCTGAGAGAAGGAAGATTGTCCTGCAAGAGGGCTAGAGGGATATTTTCTGCATCCAATAAGTTCTGCAGCAGGAATGCAGTCTGGAGGTGCGTGCAAACACTCCCAAAAAGCTGCCTAACCACCAGCTTCCAGGTAGTACCTCATAATAAAATCCTGGTGTCAGAAACCTCGTGTTAATTCTCCAAATCAAAGAGTTTTCCGAGCAGGAAAAGAGACTTTAAAGAATTCAGTTCAACAAAACATTTTGGAACCATACTTCGAGAAATCAACACAACCCAAAGCTCCAAAAAATGAAAATATATAACGTCCGTCGAAGATCATCTTCTGAGAAACATGGAAGAGGAGATGATGGCCTCTCCCTGGTCCAAGGGTTCACCTGCAGGACTCAGCCTGTCATCCTGCAGTCGGGATGTCGGAGGAAGCGATGCGAGAAGGTGAAATGTCATGTCAGATGTTTGTCTTCTTCCTGGATACAGTGAGACATCTGGGATTCATCGTCCCGCTGGATGGCATATCCAGATCCTTCTGTTGGTCATCCATCCGTTACATGAAAAAGAACCAGAGAAAGAGAACATGAGAAGGTTGTACAACAGGAGAGGCAGAGTCAACAGGAAATATCAACTTTCACAATGTTCCTTCAAAAAACACCTTTATTTTCCTTCCTTGATCATTTAGTCTTTGCCCTCTTTAATGTAGTCCATTTATGTCCCTTACTTTAGCTTTCAAGTTGTTTTGGCTTTTCCTTTTTTCTTCTCTCTTCCTGATCTCTCTTTTGCTCTCCTTCCATACGCTGTCCTCGTTTTATATAGCTGTTACCGTTTCATCTCCATCCCTTTCATACATTTCCTCTCCTTCTCCAAGGTTGCTAGGAGTGTGAGGTCTCTCAGCCCATAAATACCAATGACATGCTCCGTCTAAACCATCAGAGACGAGAAAAATCATCACACCCCATAAGCCTCTCCTCCTACACTCTATCACTATCCCTCCTCTGTCTAAGTCCACCTCCCCTGGTCTCACGCTCTCTCTATGCATTTTCTCACCCAGTCTTAGATCTCTTCCAATTCAATCCTGTCCTGTTGTGTGTGTTGCACTATATCAATGTAAGATCTCAAATTAAATAAAACTCTTGGTAGCCACATGCTGGCTGCAGCTAGCCGTTCCTGCAGCTAATGTCACACAACATTAAACACAAGGAGGGCTGCATCGTAAAAACGTCCTGTATGAAATCCCAAGGTAAGCGTCGTCAGGGCTATGATAGGATTTTTTATTCATTTATTAATCAACCATATGTCTCTGTTCAATCACAGCTTAGCAACAGTTACAAGGCATTTAGAGTTGACTGATTATTGGCTTTGATATTCAGCATGTTGACGATAATACCACATGTTGGGCTATTATGGAGCCATCTTTGTCTCTCTGTCTGTCGTCAACCTCAATGTGCCACCCACCGCCCATCTGATTGATTACACGCCATAAATCATGTTTTGTTGCCAATTAGCGTTCTTTTAAAAAAAAATTGTACGGTGTCCTTGGGTGTCATGAAAGGCGCCTAAAAATAAAATGTATTATTATAATAAGCAATAGTCTGCCAGAATAGTGTGCCACTGATGGGAAATTACTACCAATGCATTTTTAGACTTAGAGTTGATATAAACATCACAATTCTCGGAGTCAGCATCTGAATCAGGTTTAGTGTTTAGTTTAGTTTTTGAGTTGGTGAATAACATAAGCAAAGTAAGTGGTGCAAAAATCAAGAAACATAAATATTGATTTCGTTTTTGGGAAGTGATAGTTTGTGCAGAAACGTGTGAATTGGCAAAAACAACCAGTGTTTCCAGTGGTGTTTTTCTGAGTGAGTGAACCAAGAGTGTACCACAGCAACACAAATACATGTTCAAGAACAACTGCGCCTGAATTTGGGTAAGAGATGTGATCTGTTACTACATTATTTATCATAGATTGAAAAACTGCAAAAATATCTCACTTGCCAACAGGCGTTGTGTTTGTTACAATAAAGACTCCAGTCTACAGCGTAGTTCGCACAAAAGTAACTAAGTTAGCAGTGGGAAACCGTGGAAGTTATTGTGGGTCCTAAATAAATATGTCAGAAAACCAGTTAATAAACAGTGATAGCTTCATCAAAAATGTACTCACTTTGATATTGAATAGAATAAGAGAATAAGAAATGTCTTGATGACTTAATCACAGGAATTATGGGTAATGAAGTATCTTACCCTGTCTAGTATATATAGTATATCTCTAAAACCAATTGCCACGTCTCTAATGTGCAAAGTGTTTGCTGTAGAAAAAGTTCCAGTTGTATACCCTGCTATCTCACACACACACACACACACACACACACACACACACACACACACACACACACACACACACACACACACACACGCACACACGCACCAATGAAATGGCTCTCTGGTGTCTATTTCAAAGCGGTCAAACAGTTTCAGTTTTTATATCTCTTTCCATTAAGCACATTCAATTATTCATGACTCACTAACTGACCACAATCCCTCTCTCTCTCTCTCTTTGTCTCCGTCAGTGTCTCTCTATCTCTCTCTCTGGATGTGCAGACTGTTTGCTTCAGTCACACCGTAAATCAGGCAGAAGCAGAGGCAGTAAGCAAGCTCTCACTTTAACACTGAATGGCATTTGTGTTTGTAAGTAAAATTCCGATATAACATGTGACAGAAATGCTTTAAAGAGGTCCTATCATGCTTTATGGGTTTTCCCTTCCCTCTAGTGTGTTATAAAGGTGTTTGTGCATGTAAATGGTCTGCAAAGGCTAAAATCCCAAAGTTCACACCAGAGGGAGTTTCTCTCCCACACACTCCCCCGCCTGAAACGCCTCCATTGAACTCCTTAGTTTACTTCTGGAACAAAGTGGCATCACACTCACGCTTCTATTGGCTAGCGCTCCAACACATTGTTCGTGATAGGCTAAGGGACGGGACATCTCCAAGCGGTTGACCAATCACAACAGAGCCGGCCAGCTAACCAATCAGAGCAGACTGGGCTCTGGTGTCAGACAGAGGGTGAAAAGAGGTGCTGCAGCACAGGCAGTAAGAGAACAATAAAGAGCTTTTTGAACATTAAAGCATGGAGACATGTCACAGGAGAGACACTACATACTGATATGAACCTCAAAATTAGCCCCTTTAAAGTCATTGTTGACCTTCCAACTCACAAATGTACTTATCTGCGGCAATTTCCGCAAAAAGCTTTGGAAAACAGTTAACTTCCTGTTCCACGGCAAACAAAAAATAAAGTTAGAGACCATAGCTGGTGAGCATAGTGTAGCATTTAGCATCTAATGAGACAGAGATTTCCCTCAGGAGCAAGTAGAGACCAACAAGCTAAAACGAGTAAATATTGGTTTTACAATCAAGAGGTGGACACAAGCACAAAGACTCATAATGAATCACCATGCTGCTTTGTGACTGCTCAATGTGAAATGAGAAACTGTTTTATATATATATATATATACACATGATGTGTTGATCTGTCTTCACTGACCAAAAGTGTCTAAACTAAATCACTTATTGCACATTTTAGTTTAGCTTTTTCCAAAGTCATTAACAAACTTTCTTGCTCAAACTCTAGAAATGTTGGTGACATGTCCCTTTAAAATGTGCTCGTTGCAGATGAGCCATTGACTTCACGACATAATTACATTTTCTGCTGTTTTAAATTTGAAACAAGCTCTGAAATAAATCTTCACTCTTGTTTCAGTACGCATTTTATATGCACCCAATTTCTTATCAAAGTGTAGGCGGTTTGAAAACCCAATTTTTTCCCTATTCGGATTTATAATATTCCAGTTGAATTTGACAGCAGTAGCAGGACTATTTTAATTGCCCAATTTTACAGTCACGTTATCTGTCATCCACACACACACACACACACACACACACACACACACACACACACACAGAGTAGCTCGTACAACCCACACATGTTCCACACACAGCAGCTCACACAGCGTACTTCCACAGCACGTA